GGAGTGTTTGAGTACGTGCCGGCGAACGCCGCAACGACCAAGATCATCTCATGCAGATGGGTATTTGCCCTCAAGCCTGACAAGTACAAGGCAAGGCTCGCATCGTCGCAAGAGGATTCGAACAAGATGGCAACCAAGTGGATGACGTGTTTTCCCCTACGCCCTCCTACCACATTGTTCGATCAGGGTTTGCCCTGGCGAATCAACTCAACCTGGAGATACATCAGATAAACATCAACACAGCATTTCTTAACGCCCCGCTGGACAAGCCTGTCTTTATGCGGTGCCCACCTGGATATGAGAAGCCCGGCCATGTTGTTCGTCTACGGAAGGCATTGTATGGCCTCAAGGAAGCCCCGCGCGCATGGAACATCACTCTTCACAACCAGCTACTCGACAGAGGGTTCGTTCGGGACCCTCAGGAGCCCTGTGTGTACCTGCATAAGGACAACAACATCCTTCTTGTGGTGTTCGTCGACAATATTCTCATCGTCAGCGAACAAGAGAGGGTCACGTGGTTCAAGCAGCAGCTGTCGAGCGTGTTTGCGACGAAGGACCTGGGCAGGGTTGACATCTTTCTCGGCCTCAAGATCATCCGCGATCGTCAAGAAAGGACCCTGCAGATCACACAGCCACAGTACATCGACAAGATGCTCAAGAGATTCAGCATGGAGAATGCGAACCCAGTGGATTTCCCTTGTGCGTCCGGTATCCAACTGACCTCTGAGATGTCACCGAAGACGGACGAAGAGAAGACGAAAATGAAGAAGGTTCCCTATCGGCAACTCGTTAGCGCATTGATGTTCTGCTCGGTCACGTGCTTCCCGGACATCGCCTATGTGGTCAAGGAGCTTGCACGATATGCTCATGAGCCCGGTTTTGGGCATTGGCAGGCAACAAAGAGGGTTCTTCGCTATCTGAGTGGGACAAAAGACAAGGGGATCGAGTTCAAGGCTGAGCCAGGCAAGGAAGGTCGGATTGATCTGACTGCCTTCTCTGACTCGTCTTGGGCTGATTGTGTGGGTCGCAAGTCTAGTGGTGGTCATGTGGTGTTTGTGTGTGGTGGACCTGTGTATTGGAGTGCGAAGACTCAGCCACTGGTGACGCTTTCGTCAACGGAGGCTGAATACGTACAGATGAGTGAATGTGCCACTGCCCTCGTATATCTGGCGTCATTTTTGCGTGGCATACCTCTTTTTGGTGTTCGGTTTGGGAGTGCATATCTTATGGCTGATAATAGGGGAGCTATCCTGAGCGCACAGAATCCGATAGTCAGTCACAGAACGAAACACATTGA